CTGGATTGTTTTCCCTTCTTATTCCAGAATCAATTTCCATGGACAGAAACTTGCTGTAGCCAGGAGAAAGAAATCTTACCACCTTTTAATTTACTGGGCTGACTGAATGCCAGGGCAGCAGTTAAAAATTATTGAGCAGAGCCATGACGCCTGTGTCACAGCATAAACAAGTGGGGGTCTCTGGTTACATAACAACCCCCCCACACACATACATAGAGCAGCTTTCAGCCAGAGCACTCAGACGGACATTTATTTTTTCTCATTCCATGAACCTGTTACAGGAAGGCTAAAGGGAAGGCATCTCCCCCACAATGCCCAATTTCCTTATTTGGAAATTTTGGATATGACTGGGAACACCCCTCTAAAAAGGACACTATGGTATCAGCAGTCACTGGTGAGTACAGTGGTATCCCTTTACTGTCCCTCTCCTCTACCCCCCCCCCCCGGCTATAGCTGGAGACCTTTAAATGAACGGTGGGCATTTACCACTTGCAGAGCGGGGATCAAGATCCTTTTGCATGGACCTTCCATGTATTCAAGCGTCATGACAGGTCAATGTAGATGGCAAATGTTACCATTCCTACCTTCTAGATAAAAATGCTTTTGATATTTTGAAGAGGAAAAAAATGACCACACTGTGCAAACAATTCAAATATTTCAGAAATTGACTTTGAAGGCAACTTTCAGGTTGGTTTTGGTTTTTGGAAATTATGGCTGCTGTTGATAAAATCAGAATTGATATGTTTTAGCTTCCTAGCTGAGGCAAAGAAAATAGATGCTCTCTAGACTCCCCACTGACCCTCCACTTCCAGCACAGAAAAGTTAGTGCTTGAGTGGAAGACTCGATTCATTCCTCTTGATAATGAAATCTGCCTTGATAATTGTTCTTGTCTTTTGCTTTGATAATTCATTGATCAGTATTGACATCTGTAGCGTACAGTATATAACCCTTGCATTTGTTTCTTTGCAAATAGCAGCTTTTCAGTTTTGGATTTTTTTAACAGCTATGCCAGCTGAAAATGTTGGGAGCTGGACTGTTACTCTTGTTTTGAAGTTATCCATCAGTTTAAGCTCCTGGCTAGCTAATGCTATTCAGAACTACAGTATTTGGCTTATTTCTCAGCATCCACAGTTATTTTAGAAAAGACTGTGTCCTGTTCAAAAAATAGAGTACAAGAAAGATGATGGAAGAAGATGGAATTTTAGCCAAGACTTAGTTACTCAGACTGGCAGTGATCTTACCAGAGTTGTTTCCTAGTCTTGTCTTGGATTTGAATCTAGCCATTTTGTCACTTGTTTTGAGAGATTAATATAATCACACATTCCCACTGCAGAAACATTTGAATAATAGAACTGTGTGGAATATTGTGGTTCATATGGGATATATTCACAGCCTCAGTGGCTTCAGTGTTGCAGTGAGCACGTTGTGTATCATCCAACCATCCCCAAACAATATATGTTCAAATACTACCAGAGAAATGTAGATTTAATCACCAAACAGCAACCTCTAAATATTACATGTATCTGGTTAGGCTCAGGAACAGAAAGGCTGTATCCTAACTTAGTTTTGTTTAGTGAAGGTGCGTGGTTTTGTGTGCTGCCTGCATCCCATGGATGGGGCTTTGCCTGTTTGTGCGGACTGGTTGTTGGCAGGCCGCGGCCCGGTACTGGTATGGACCCCTGCCATAGGGCAGTAATATAATGTAATTCACAAGATGGGAATGAACCAGAGTAAACCCACAATTAAGCTACATATTCCTCTGCATGATTACATTACAAGAGATTGCCCAAACAAGCAATTCTTAGTCATGCTAGTTAAAGATTTTAAGGTGGTTCTGACAAGCTATAATTCACTAATAATTCACAGCAGTTTTATTGTGTTACGGAGCCATCTTCAGTTTACCTTATCTCCTATGGAAGTCCTAATCTGTTATTCCTGAGGAAATAAAAGGATACTTGACCATTCCAGGTCAATCACTCTTTGTTGGTAAAATCCCTCCAGGAAGTGACACAAGGCTGGGTTAAGAT